CACAAGGAAGCGTGAGACCATAAGAAATGACCCTGGCTTTGAACCCGAGGGAGTGTTTTATTACTGGACTTATGTACATGGGTTTATAATCAGTGCTAACATTCTAACATAAGGGTGTCCATCAGTACACTTTGCAGGAAGACACCCTTGGCGAGAGCTAATTTATTGTCTTGTAGTCGTATCAACTACACTGATGTAAAAATGGAGCAACAGTCTGGTTTGTGTTGCCTGTATAAAATGAGACCTTTCCCCAGACCTGTGCTGTGTCACTGATCGTGTTCATAACTTTCAGGGACAGAATTTGGGGGTTGTTTGGGAATAAGCAAAGTTTTTTTTCTTTTTTGTAAATGGTGTTTGTTGGCTCCCTCCATCAAATACCTAAGCATACTTACAGGGGCGACATTGGCGTTGGATGTGGGAGTTTTCCCTGCGAACCGGGGGCGAACTTTGGTCAAGTCTCCTGACTTGAAAAAGCAGTATATAAGTACAGGCCATTTACCATTTTACCATGCAATGGGGCAGTTCACAGCTGAGTGAATTGGCCAGGGTAAGATCAACATCTCCAGGTGCCCCCTGAGTCCAAGGTTCTAAACCAGGAAAGCGTTGCTTGCCTTATTCAGGTCAGAGTTGGGGTCCTGCCTCAACTGAAAAGCTCAAGTATCTGGGGTTCTTGTTCGTTGGAGAGTGGAGAACAGAGAAGGTTCTCTCCTCACTCCTGACAACCCTGAACCTGTCTTTGGTACAAATAGGCAGTGGAAATGTTTGGGACTTGATGACAAATGACTAAACAGTTGTCCAGACGATAGTCAATGATAGCTTCCACAAGGCTAAGCTACTAAAGAGCATGGCTAAGGTAGTTGAATACTTACAGAATGTTATATTAAAGTAAATAAAAAGAGAAGAGAAGTGGGAGAGCCATTAGCTCAAACAAAACTTTTAGTTTCAATTACTTCTTTAAGCAATGACCAAAAATGTGGATTTTATATTCATTACATCCATTTAAAACCTATAAAGTTTCCGTAGGGTACTGAAATAGAAACTGGAAGGAAGTAAAAAAGAACTTAACAGAAAGGACCCACAAAAGGAAAGAACTGAAGGAAACGAGATGGGAAAAGCATAAGACAAGAAGGAAAAGGAAGAATGAACAACAGTCAGGATTAAGATAATGTCGTGTGAATGACAGAACATGAATTGTTTGTGAATAGGACATATGGAAGGAAGAGGGAACCTAGAAACAAAGGAAACAAGAAATTAATGGGGGGAAAGATGGGAATAAACAACGTACAGACTTAAGGGAGGTACAAAACATGCAAATAAAAATAGGAAGGGCACAAGGAATGAGTGGTGGAAGGAATGGAAGAAAAATGATACAAGAAAAGAAGGAGGGACAAAAGAAACCAAGCTAAGACATTTTTCATAAATGAGTAAAGGAATGGAGAAGGGTAATACATAAGGATATATGTAGATGCAAAAAGAAGAAAGGGCACAAGACCGTAAAGACAAAAGGCAGGACACAAATGAGGAAACAGGAGAAGAAAGGTCTAATAAAGGAACAAAGAAAGGATTTAAAGAAGGAACAACATAAAAGAAAAGATGAGGAAGAAAGAAAGGAGGGTAACATAAGGGAAGAAAGTGTATGAGAATGGAACAACACATGACAACAAGAACAGCCTTGATGCAATACGACACGCGATAGTTTGGAAATACAAATATTTTCAAAACTGTTATTTGTATTTTTCCAGACCTAATAACAGAAAAAAATCTGTCTTATACTTTGCCTGTTCATCCAGACTCCACAGAAACCCTGTTACAAAAGCCAGAGTATCTTCATAGGACCTCTTTCAAAAAAAAGATGCAACTTTTTCTTTAACAAACAGAAAGGTGAGCATTATCCATTGTTATTTAGGCCTTAAATGATCAGTGGCTAAGCTTACACTCTGAAGCCATTCTAGCTTTGCAAGTGGTGGTCAATAGGGCAGATGTAAATGACTATAAATATCCAGGTGTGGGTATTCATTCATGCATTTTTTGCATATAAGTTGGGGATTTATATTACAATTTAATGAAACTTTTTATTGCTTTGAACCACAAATCTGCATGACACACACACACACACACACACACAGATAGTATCTGTAAGTCTCCATCTGAAGTTTCTTGCTGTACCAAGATAACACGTATCTGTCAGCATAGAGGTTCATCTTGTTCCTGCAGAGGTTATTACGACTCAATCGTGGAGCATTTGAGTGAGCGGGCGCAAACAGCACACAGCACTGCAGCGTCCCACTGGGGAGATACAATAATGCACTCCTGAAATATGACACCTATCCTTGGCATAGTGTTCTCACTATGTGCAGTCGTCTATATGATTCACAACGCAACGTGTGAGTGACACCCATCAATGTTGGATCCCTTCCCCAGCATGCATTTATTGTAAAAGAAAGGGTTTATTTAGAAAGTAAGGATTGCACATGTGGATCCTTTTAAAACAGGACGGTGTATGCTAATGTATATACGTCATGCTTAACTCCATTAAATGTGGCAGATTTGGCTCACTGTTTAAATAAGCTCTCCGTAAATGGTTAACAACACACCATGGCTGTAAAATTCAGCTGTCCCATTGATTACGGGGTAATAGCTGGATAGATTAATGTGTTTCTCAGGGGGGTTCCCGCCTCGCCAATGAATCTGAATCACTCATGCAAACACAGCCAGCAGAGCTGCCTTCCTAACCAACAACCCATATTTGTACCCTTATTCATATTTCCCCCTGCCGATTACTGATTAGTGTTTCAGCACGATTCTGCTTGCTGCTGTCTGATGTGAATCTGATAAGACTTATACAGGTTTGAAACCCCATAACTTAAACATATCAAAACAAATCCAAATACAAAATAATAAAGTTTAAAATACCAGTGCAACAAATAACAGAATGTTGTGTTTGTGTGTGTAATGGAGTCTTGCACCGTCGTAACATATTGCAGAGTAAGACAGAAGCTGTGATGGAACAGTGCTCTCAGACCTCATAGGCTCAATATCCACAACCGCCGATAATGTGCATCACTACATCACTAGCATTAAATATTCAAAAGCTTGATACAAGAAAGGTGAAGCCTCACACCTACACTTAGTAAGGCAGAAAAAAAATCTCATTTGTCTGTTAAAGATGATTCATGAAGGTTCTATCTTTAAGTAACAGCTGTCTGAATTTCTAAGCATCTATTAAACCCTGGGATTGCATTCTGAGCTCAGTGAGATGAGAAATTTGAAACCAGTCCACAGGTTAAACTATTCCAACATTTTTTATATATATATATATATATATATATATATATATATATATATATATTTATTTTATTATTTATTTTCCAAAAAACAAATCATGAGATCTGCCTGCAAATCACTAGTGTAATCACACTAATTTTACTTTTACTACTAAGATCGATTTTGAAAGGTTAAACCAAAGTGTGGAAGAATTTCATTCAAATAGCTGCTTAAAACTATATGTGCAACAGCTTACTTACTTACCGCATTACATTTCTGAAAAGCAAAAGCAGTAATGCTCATCCTTGCTTAAACTTAAATTAGATATTTTAGTAATTTTATATCAAAATGTTTTTACAAAAAGACCACACTGTGCTGAAGAAGATTTTATACCATAATGAAAGCATGAAAAAAGTCTTTTTGCAAGAGTTTTCATTTTTAATCATATTCCAATTGTCTGATATGTTTGCTCCAAGCATAGTGATTTTTAACAACACTATACTAAATACAGAGCTGTCAAGTAACAAAGTACAAATACTTTATACAAATACTTACTGTACTTAAGTGCACTTTTTAGGTATCTATACTTTACTCCATTACTTATTTTTTACACAACTATCTGTACTTTCTAATGTACTCCTTATATTTTTAAAACAAATGTTACTCGTTACTCTTGGCTTCGGTTTAATGTTTATAAATATTTATTTCACGTCATGTGCTCCATCCAATGCAGATCATTGGCGCCATCCACATCTAGTGAAAACTAGTGTAATTGGATGAATCATATAACGCAAACACTCATTGGTTAACTAAAGGAAATCATCAGAAGCAAGCAGGTGTTCTTCAAACTGCAAACATAAATTGTCTATGCCATGCTACAATGTCCGATTCAGAAAAAGATGTTGAAATGTCTGAAAGGTCGGACACAGGAGAGAGCGTATCGGGAGATGGAGACCAACAAAATCTCTGTCATCCTTGGCCCTATCTCAAAGAATTTTTCGAAATAATCGAAAAATTGAGCTTTCATTTCATTAATGTATACTTTTATACATTAAGTAGTTTTTGGAGCACATACTTTTTCACTTTTACTTAGTTAAAGAGGTCAAGTTGGTAATTCAAATTTCACCAGTGTTTTTAAACTGCAGTATCTATACTTCAACTTAATTAACAAATGTGTGTGCTTTTTACACCACTGACTAAATATAAACTATTAAAAGTATTGACTACTAAAAGATATGACAAGTCAATTTTATTCATCTTATTTTCATACCTCTGAATTAAAACAACCTTAATCTTAATGCACTTTGCATAAAAAAAAAAAAAATCCAGTTTAGATACAGAAATTTAAATGAAGTAAATTTGATTATAGAGAAACAACTATTGTCAATTAAATACAATACTTTTGAACACGATTACAAAGCAATGCAGTCAAGCTCATTTTATAATTTAAATTGATCAAAAAATGAAAAAAAAAAAAAGAACCCCAGCCAATTACCGTAAATGTCAATATGTAGAACCTCTTTATGTCTCTTTTAAGTACAGCTTTAAGTTACCTGTGATCTAGCTTTTACTGATCCGTGCAAGAATAAACTTATACTGCTGAATAAATGACATCATACCTGCAATATTCTCACACAAAAGTAAATAAATTAATAATAAAAGCCAATTAGCCATCAATTGCTAAGAATGTTCTCCCAAAAGTAAAGGAAGGCTATTCCAGCTGTTAATCCTCTTACCTTGTTATTGATGCACAAAGCAAGGTGCTTTCTCTCCCGAGCCAGACTCCCGCTGCGCAGCCTCACCTCCTCTCCTTGATGCATGTTTCTGAAAAGACATCAGTCAAGTTTAAACACTTTAAACACTCAAATGAACACATCTGGATCAGAGCTTCCTGCAGCGTCTGTTTTCTGTGCCCAGCTGAACCAAACGTCACAGGAGGATCTTTCTATATATCGGTGCATGCAGGATGAGCCTGTGCGCAGAGCGCGTCATTTATGGAAAAAATCCACTCCCCTATAAACATGTGTGATTACAGAGGGGTCTCTGGGTGTGACACCGACCTGTTCGCGCTGTTCCTCAGCATGACGACCGGTTCCTTGGCAGTCAGACGGAGATGAAGTGATCACTTCTGGTGGGGAGCAGCCGGTGAGAGACCAGACTTGGAAGATTCTCGCAGCCAATCGGATGCTGAGCGTGTGCGCAGCGCAGCCACCGCGTGTGTGACGACATCTTTTAACTTGGCAATTCTTTCAACGCAGGCTTAATGATTCTGCTTGCTGTCTCCACAGCATGGGCGGCTCTACACAGGGGCCAATGGGGGCCAGTGCCCCTGTAGATCCTGTCCTGGCCCCTGTACTGAAGACATAATACTCAAAGAAATTCTATTGATGATATGCGCTGGAACAGACATGGTTACTGATTGGTCCTATGGTCCTTTTTTTCTTTCTTTTTGTTTTTCTTTTTCTTTTTACAAATTTTGTTTTACTAATTATTTAAAATATGGGTGGAGCTAGATGGGGGGCCAGGGGTGGCCATGCCCACCCTTAGCCAATCATTGGCCACCCCTACCAATTTTCTCCCTCTAATCAGATGGTGGCAACAGTATTACTCTAAAGTCCAATATTCATTTTTCATGTATTACTTACCTTTTTTTCATATATTCATAATTTCTAGAAAACAAAAACACTGTGGTTAATTATACACATCAATATAGTAACATTAAAGATGATAAGTACAGAATTCATGCTCTAGATTTTGTGTTATATTGGGTAAAGAGAAAATGATGTGTCTCTGCAAGTCATCTTGGTAGTCTTTAGTGAAATCATAGATAAACAACCATTTTAATAAAAACGTATTAAATAATCAATTTATGTAGATATTTGTACTTGTAAATATCAGTTTTATGTAGAATGATTATTGCTAAAAGTAGGTAGGTGATGACAATGGAAAAAGACATACACCCCAGAACTCACACCTTGAAGTATTTTACCCACTATACCTTTTATCTAGAAAGCACGGATGTTTAAATATATGCGTCTATTTGTAAGCAAAGGCTGTAGGAAAGCATAGTTAGTCTTACCTTTGGCTTGAGCCTGGGGTTCTGGTGCCTATCCACTTTTTGCCACCCCTCAGTGTACATTAGTTATTGCCAGGCCACCCTTATAAAACCTTTCTGGCTACGCCTCTGATGTAAAAACAATAAGGTGATAGCTTCAGCGGTATTGGGATACGATCCCAGTTTTCATCTGCTAAATTTTTTTTCCAAGACCGATGAAATAAAAATACTGTAATTTTTACAACTGAATTTTGAAAGAAAACGGTTATTTTAACTCAAATTAAGTCACAAATTTGTAAATTTCTGAATGTATATTAACCTAATTAGACATAGAATTTGAATTAAACCTAACTGAATTGAAATTTCCCCTCATGCACTTATCTTAATATATTTGAATCCCTTGCCCTGTTTTTTAGCTCATGCTTTTCTTTGCCCCCATGAAAACACGCTGGCCCCCTCCTGGCCCCCTGGTACATTTGGTCTAGAACCGCCACTGCTCCAGAGAGAGAGAGAGAAAGAGAAAAAAAAAACATTTATTAAATTCTTATCGAAAACTGTTTCAAAAGTTGTACTCCAAGGGTCCTAGTTTTGGACAAGGTGTTGCTTTATCTTTGTTGTTGATGTTTGGAGCTAGTGTGGAGCACTTACAATTAAACCTTATTTTGTCCAATTAATCAGGGGTTATTAATGTATTCATTTATTTTGTTTGTTTTAACCTTAATGGTAAAACTGTGACAATGCTTTTCAAAATAGTTTTTAATTTTGGCACATATGTATATGTATTTTTATTCTGCAATGGACTGGAGACCTGTCAAGGGTGTACCCCGCCTCTCGCCCGTAGACAGCTGGAGATAGGCACAATCACTTCTCGCGACCCTGCTTGGAATTCAGCTTGTAAGAAAATAGATGGAGGAATGGATGTATTTATATTAATCATGGCACCTAACTGCTCAATGAATAAATGTTTTATTTTTTGCATTTTTTTACAAATACAAATTTGAAGGGTATGGCATACAGTTGTATACTGCTCTAAAATGAAGTGAAGACTCAAATAACATCTTGTATGCCAGTACAATACAGCTCAAATAACATCTTGTATGCCAGTACAATACAGCTCCAGCATAGAGGAATTGCTTCAAATGGTAACAAGTACTTGAACTGAGGTTGCCCAAACTAATTTACTAAAGTATTCCACTTACAAACTTCCTAAATTAAGTTGGAGATTGATTCAATTACTTGTTTCTAATTGACGCAATTAATTACAGTTGGATCATTTTTTTTTTTTTTTTTTTAAGAGTGTGCCGTAGATGTTCCAAACATGTTCAAAAATCTTTATTAATGCATTCAGAAGAAAATCACATAAAATGATCGATTCAAATTTAGGTTATAATCGCATGGTTGTCTGGATTTCAATTAAATTCAGTTTATTTATATAGGGCCAATTCACAATACATGTCATCTCAAGGCATTTTACATGGATTTAGAACCCATCATTAAAAAGTGACATTTGTCCCATTTACTCTATCCCCTGAAACTGATCCATGCCGAGTTTGGACTGAGCTTGGATCAGTGAACCGTGCCAAACTTGGTTCTTATGACTATTTCCCCATCACACGATACTACAGCTCTCAAAATGGGAATTACGCAAGCAAAAATGGCGGTGCCTACTGTATAATATTCAGGAACTTATGTGCCTGGATAGCGTCCTCCGCCAAAATTTCAATGAGAGCCTCAGTCTCTCTATCATCCAGGTCGCACCACGCTCTTTTGATGCAATTTATTGTTAATAAGCTGAGAAGAAATTTGTGTTGTTAGGATGTGAAGAGATCTGTGAATTGCAAAGCTAGACACGACGGAAAACCTGCAATATGAGTCAGTTGACTGTAAATAGGAGATGACCCAGTCTCCTCATGCCGTCTTTGTTATCAGAGAACAGAGCCACCACTTTTGAGCCCTGCTGTTGAACAAGTACTAGATTTAGAGCGGTTCAGTTGTGTCTAGCACGGTCCAGTTCAGTTCCATTCCATTTACACTAAACAGTCTTCTCGGTTATTGTCCTCGAACCGTTCTCGGCAAAAAGGTAGTGTAAATGGGTCTATTGTATTACAGGCTGATCCAAATTCAGTGGAAGTTCCCTAAGAAAAGTAAAACTGAGGCTTGGTAGCGTGTAGGGTTGTGTGGGTGTGGAGTGTCCACTTGCCCATGCAAGCTCCCAACAACGTCTGGACATGCTCATGAGACAATGGATTTTCTCCTAAGGGATCTCTTCTCAGACCTGGATTAAAGCATCAGTCAAGCCCTAGACTAACCTGACAAAAAGCCAGATGCATGTCTCGCTCCGCCTAGCTCCACTCACATACNGAGAGCGTATCGGGAGATGGAGACCAACAAAATCTCTGTCATCCTTGGCCCTATCTCAAAGAATTTTTCGAAATAATCGAAAAATTGAGCTTTCATTTCATTAATGTATACTTTTATACATTAAGTAGTTTTTGGAGCACATACTTTTTCACTTTTACTTAGTTAAAGAGGTCAAGTTGGTAATTCAAATTTCACCAGTGTTTTTAAACTGCAGTATCTATACTTCAACTTAATTAACAAATGTGTGTGCTTTTTACACCACTGACTAAATATAAACTATTAAAAGTATTGACTACTAAAAGATATGACAAGTCAATTTTATTCATCTTATTTTCATACCTCTGAATTAAAACAACCTTAATCTTAATGCACTTTGCATAAAAAAAAAAAAAATCCAGTTTAGATACAGAAATTTAAATGAAGTAAATTTGATTATAGAGAAACAACTATTGTCAATTAAATACAATACTTTTGAACACGATTACAAAGCAATGCAGTCAAGCTCATTTTATAATTTAAATTGATCAAAAAATGAAAAAAAAAAAAAGAACCCCAGCCAATTACCGTAAATGTCAATATGTAGAACCTCTTTATGTCTCTTTTAAGTACAGCTTTAAGTTACCTGTGATCTAGCTTTTACTGATCCGTGCAAGAATAAACTTATACTGCTGAATAAATGACATCATACCTGCAATATTCTCACACAAAAGTAAATAAATTAATAATAAAAGCCAATTAGCCATCAATTGCTAAGAATGTTCTCCCAAAAGTAAAGGAAGGCTATTCCAGCTGTTAATCCTCTTACCTTGTTATTGATGCACAAAGCAAGGTGCTTTCTCTCCCGAGCCAGACTCCCGCTGCGCAGCCTCACCTCCTCTCCTTGATGCATGTTTCTGAAAAGACATCAGTCAAGTTTAAACACTTTAAACACTCAAATGAACACATCTGGATCAGAGCTTCCTGCAGCGTCTGTTTTCTGTGCCCAGCTGAACCAAACGTTACAGGAGGATCTTTCTATATATCGGTGCATGCAGGATGAGCCTGTGCACAGAGCGCGTCATTTATGGAAAAAATCCACTCCCCTATAAACATGTGTGATTACAGAGGGGTCTCTGGGTGTGACACCGACCTGTTCGCGCTGTTCCTCAGCATGACGACCGGTTCCTTGGCAGTCAGACGGAGATGAAGTGATCACTTCTGGTGGGGAGCAGCCGGTGAGAGACCAGACTTGGAAGATTCTCGCAGCCAATCGGATGCTGAGCGTGTGCGCAGCGCAGCCACCGCGTGTGTGACGACATCTTTTAACTTGGCAATTCTTTCAACGCAGGCTTAATGATTCTGCTTGCTGTCTCCACAGCATGGGCGGCTCTACACAGGGGCCAATGGGGGCCAGTGCCCCTGTAGATCCTGTCCTGGCCCCTGTACTGAAGACATAATACTCAAAGAAATTCTATTGATGATATGCGCTGGAACAGACATGGTTACTGATTGGTCCTATGGTCCTTTTTTTCTTTCTTTTTGTTTTTCTTTTTCTTTTTACAAATTTTGTTTTACTAATTATTTAAAATATGGGTGGAGCTAGATGGGGGGCCAGGGGTGGCCATGCCCACCCTTAGCCAATCATTGGCCACCCCTACCAATTTTCTCCCTCTAATCAGATGGTGGCAACAGTATTACTCTAAAGTCCA